TAAAATAATCCTGACATTCAAGTTTAATTGTTAGAGTCTAATCAATCTTTAGGTGATAAAGGTAGCCAAAGAGTGAAGATCTGTGACCCAGATCTAGAGGTTATTGACTAAAACTTGTTCCAAACACTGCAGTTTTCCTTATCCCAGGGATTTTCTATAATTATTTATTATAATTTCTTAATTATTCATTCTATCAAGGTTTATAATGATAAAACAACCACTAATGAGAAGGCAAAATCTAATTCCTTAGGAATCTCATTTTTACCTGACATTAATTAATGCCCACTTATAAATTGTGTCTTAACCATAAAATCCACTAGCTGCTTGAATTTAGTCTTCATATTTATTGAAAAATTCAAAAAAAAAAATCTGCTCTAAGGCAGCCAGGTAAGTCCAATATGCTAGTTTTATAAACATTTAAACCTATAACAGGCTTATTTCTTAGTGTGAACTATCTGAATTTCCTCCATGAGTAATATTTGTGGCATGGCACCAGATAAGAGTTTGAAGGCAGGAGGGATAAGTATCACTCTTTTCTTCACTCTAAGAGGCAGCTCTCTGTCAAGATTGCAACATTTTTAAATGTTGACAAGCATGTACACTCTAACACACGCTTTTTGCCTGGCTCATTATGTAAATTATATTCATGTAATGCATCACTTGGGTATTCAGGTGCAAGCCCATGGTGTCTAATACAAGTCCTCCTTGTCAGGAGCAGCAGCAATGTACATTTTCAGTAAAGATAACCGATCAGGGGGAAAAATAACTGCTATTTTCAATCAGAACTATATAAAATGCCCTTAGTCCAGAAAAGATGTGATGCCAGGCTAAGGCTGTAAAATACATCTCTGACCTTATTATCCAGGCTCCTGTGTTAAATATAGTGGCTATAATAGAATTTGTATGCCCTAGTTTCTGACAGGTTGAATGTTGCTTAGTGATCCAGGAGTGGAAAATGGCTGCCTGCATTCAAAGGAGATCATAGATTACAGACATTTCCTGGGCATTATGACCAGAGGATGCTGTTGCAATGGCTCACAAAAGAGAGACAGCGTCCTAACCCCTGTAATTGGAGCAGGACTGCATTCGTTACCTACTGCAGTGTAATGAAGCACCCCCAAACTATTTATTTTTCTGTGGGTCAGGAATCTGGGCTGGATGAGCTGGGTCTTCTGCTTTAGGGTCTCTCTTAGGAGGCAATCAATTTGTCAGACAGGCCTGTGGTCATCTTAAGGCTTAATGGAAAAGGTGTGCTTCCTGGCTGACTCTGGGTTGTCAGCAGGATTCAGTTCCTCGTGGCTGTTGGGTGGGGTTTTGTGTTCCTTGCTGCATGTTAGCTGGAGACCTCCCTCAGTTCTTTGCCACATGATGTCACTTGCTCTAATATGGGAGCCTGCTTCATCAAAGCAAGGAAAATGAGAAGAGAAAAGAGACGGTGGCTTCAGGATGGAAGTCACCATCACCTCTGCATTAGAAGCAAGTCAGTGGCTTCAGACCACATGCAAGGGAAGGAGACTATAGAAGGACAGGGATGCCAGGAGGCAGAGATCACTAGGGCCATTTTAGAGCTTTCCTACCAAAGGAACTGAGAATATCTCTCATATGTCAACAATATCCCTGCCCTACACAACGTATTTATCATGTTACCTAGTGAAACCTACAAAGCAATGAAACGAAATGGTAGCACCTTGGATCTCCTTTTATGCCAGGGTGGCTGACAGGAAATTTAATGATGTTATTCACAAAGAGCACCTTGTCACAGTGCAAAAAGGAAACGTCTTTCCAATTCCAAATGCAAGCAAAAAAATTTTTTTGGAAAAAAATGTTTTAATGTTCTCTTTTTTCCTACATGGTTCCAATACCCACCAAGCCTATTTCAAACTAGACAGGAGAACCTATTAATCCAGCAATGGAGAAGGCAGACATCGCAGGATGGCTTCAAGACCTAGGAAGGTAGAACAGCCGCAGCCAGCAGTCCACAGAGGATGATAGATGCAGGCAAAGCTTTCCGTGAAAATCACGTGATGAGGACTCAACTTGATGACTCTGCTCTTGTGAAGGCCTAAGGAAGAATAACACTCAATAGTAAAGCCTTTGAGACCAGAAGCACACCTTGCCCAGACAAGAGGTATAAATGATGTGGGATAGGAGCCAAATTTGGCAAATAAAGAATGAGGAGCAGTTCAGGAACAGTCTCTTGACCACACTGGCTAAAGGCTACCACTAAATCCTACATTGTGAGGAAGTGGAAAATCGTCACCCAAGTCCACTGTGCATCTGTTATATTTTGTAGAGAGGTGGGTAGGATTTTCTGATAAATGACCTTGGAGCTCTCTGATAATGACCTTGGCTTCCCTTAAAATGACCCAGGTGGGAGTAATGGCTTTTTTCTTTAGAAGTGGGTGTGAGACTGCATGAGAGACTGCATACATATCATTTCTCAAGTAATCGGAAACCTTAAGGTTTCCAGATGCTGATAATCTTTATTTTTTCAAAACACCCTTAAAAACGTTGGTCCTAAGCTAAGACTTCTCACACGTAGCCTTATAAAATGGATAGCAGTAGAGACTGAGGTTCCTTCAAGGGAGGAATAGCTTCACGGTATATCCAGTAGCTTGCCTGGCAAAGCACACAGCCCTATAGGGTGAGTAGAGCACTCAGGACCTGCTGAACCTTCTGCCACTGAGTTCCAACCTGCACCAAATACCACTGCTGGTGACCATCCTGAGAACTTTGCCCAGAATAAGTGGATGTGTATAAATACTTACAAAACATCATATGATTCTCATTACAGAGTAAGTCTTACTCATTTTGTTTTTGTCATTGTCATCATCTTCATTTTATACAGCTAAAATTTAAAAAACCCTCTAACTATCACAAGAGAAATGCATGGGCCCAGTGTGGTAACTGACTATGAGAAAGATTATTCCAGTACCCAGCATGGGCAACGTCATGTAAGTCACATACCTCATAAAATGCCATTGTAACTGCTGAAGCTTGGGTATATTGTATGTAGCACAGAATCTCATCATCAGTAATTTATTGATTTTGCTCTTTTTTGAGCCATTAAAGCTTAAAGGTTGTTTTCACCTAGATTCTTTAAGAAGCAAAGTGTAAGTAAAAGGCCATGTGTGAGTAATTTATTTGGAAATGTAGTTCCAGGGAACCAGAATAAAACAAGGGAGGAGAGCCCACACAAGTATATCACCATGGGTGACCAGTTGTTCAGCCCTGTGAGCTCATCTGAGAAGCAGAATGAAATATAACACAAATGTTCTGGGGTAGGAAAAGGGTCAAATGAAGAAGAATTTACCCACTGACTTCCAGGCCCTCATTGGTGAACATTTCCTTTAACCTGATATTCAGCACTTCCACTTTCAGGATGCATATTCGTGGACACTAAGTTCTTACAGTACTCAATGCAGTGACACCGGTAAAGAAACCCCACATGTGCTGGAGGCAAGAGATGTGCATTTCGGGCCTGAAGCAAAGCTGTACCTACTGGAAACTGACTGGAGCCTACACAGAACTGTTGCTTGCAACAGTGGCTGCCACAGGATATAGGTGTGGCTTAGAAGATCAGATATGATGCTTAAGAGTCATCTAATAAAGTTTTCAGACGTGGAAAACCCTTGTGGAGACAGAATTAACCCTCGAAAGGGTAACACCTCAAGTCTTTAGTTGCTTGTTTCTTAGTGGAAATTAAGAGATAGACATTGAAGCTACGAGACACAGAAAATTATCATATGAAGGGAAATGTTGACTTGCAGATTTTATTTAGTGAGCATGTCACTGTTGGGGAAGGATATTTTGGGCCTTTGAGAGACATTCTCAGTTCCTCTGATAGAAATCGCTTTAAAATGGTTTCCAAAGACCCCTACCTTTTGGTACACATGGCCGGTATAATCCTCTCTCCTTGTTTGTAAACTAAACCTAGTGACCTGTTTCTAATGAAAAGAACTGTCATTGAACACCTAGTGCCACAATTCATTATTAAAAATTTTTTAGGCCTCACCCATGAGACTGCAAACTCTAGAAAGGCATGATTTGGCTAACAATCATATTCCAAGCCATATGATGGTGTTCGGCATATAACAGATGCTCAGTCAGCATTTATTCAATAAAACACATCTCAAAAAGGTATTTATTTCCTGGGATAGGAAAAGGGACAAAGAAAGAAACACTAACCCACTGACTTCACATCCCCGTTGGAAATGGAGTGAGTGAGCGAGTGAGTGAGTTCATGGTCATTATTTAAATCAAGTTCAAGTCTACATGATGTTAGAGTTCTGGCACAGGTACTGAGGATTTCTCCTAATAACCAGGGTGAGGATAGGCTAAAAATTCCCACATTACGTTGGAGATGTCATGGTATCTCAGAAAACCTATTAGTTGTTTGCTTAACTTCTTTGAGACATTTTGTTTTCTGTCAGGGGAAATAATAATGGTGACGTTACAAAGCTGTTGCAAGAAGCAGTGAGTTTATTAATAAAAGCACTTTGTGAGCTTGAAAAATTTCAAATTCACAAAGCACTAGACAAGTGTTAGTTGTTATTTGTTCCACCTCCTCCGGAGTTGCCTCCCTTGTAGGTTGCAACAAGAGAAGAAAGTTCAAAATCCCAGAACGATTTCTGTCTTTTCCTCAGATTCTAAATGAAATAGTTTGGCTTTGTTCCTAAACCGAGGTGAAACCAAGGTAGAGAAGGAGAAGAGAACAAAGGGAAGAGACTTGGGCCGAGGCACATACAATAATCTGCCATGAAGAAGTACCATGAAGACATACAGTGCGGCCAAGGACAAGAATGTGATGTTTTCTCATTTGACACGTTTGTTGAATTTCTTTTTGTGATGTGGTTTGACCGAGCCTGAGAGAGAATGTGAAAACCTTTCACCCAAGTTCGAGAATGTCTGATATTGGTTTACAACTTCACATTCCTCTGTGATTCCAATGGACTCACTCAGCCTCAGGTTGGACAAGTTTATTTACACATACACACACACACACACACACACACACACACACACAAATCATATGTATAAGAAGGAAAGCAGTCCTGTAGAATTGAAGTGTTTGAAAAAAATCTATGAGCTCAGTGTTTTGGAGGAAATCCCTTGAATAGCACTGGAAAGAAGGCAGCTCATTTTGGAGTAAGTATGAATAGAACCAGAAATAGGAGATACGGGAGGGACAAGAAAAGGCCAATAATCTCTTATGAGTTCATGTCCTCAGCTTTGAATGGTAGGATTGTATCTACTGTTCAGTTTTTGAAATACAGTTGTGCCACTTGGTGAGTACACACCACCCCTTCAGAGCCTCCCTCCTGCCTTAATCCCTCTGACTCCTACCCTATGTGGTCTGCCCCATGAGATTAGCCCAAAATCGAGAAATTGGATAGTTAATGCAAAGCTCAACATGGCACCTCCTGGACCCTGCTCTAGAGGGATGGCCTGTTTTTAAATCTGTACCAGATGGTCAGGTTGCACTAGATACGTTAAAGGAGACTGATATCACTCCTGTCACTCTGTCTTGGCACTAATCTATATTTTCTCCCCATTCTGGTTCCCACTCCCCAAACAGGTGCACACACACATGTAAGTACATGTGTACAAATGGGTACACACAAGTCTATACATGCACACAAACATGCACATGCAAACTCATGCACAAACATACACACCTGCACACATACATGTCCTCACTTTGCCCCATCTTCACCAACTTCTCCTGCTCTTCTTTCTGTGAGCACTGACCCTTCACACTGGGGTTCAGCTGCCACACTTCACTTTGGGTATGATGATGACAGAGGCTGAAAAATCCATCAATGTATTTCCCCATGGTTGCCTTCCACCAAATGATACTAATACTCCTGAAAATACTTAACATTTACAAAATGTTTATTTTCTGATTCATGCCAAAGTACTTGTAAGCCTCCTTTTTTCTCATATGCAAAATGATACCAATCATACCTAGTTCACAGATTTGTTATGAGGAATATATAAGGGAATGCATTTATGGGATTAGCACAGTGCCTGGACATGGTAATTGCAGCAAATAGTAGCTACTGATATCGTGGTATTTATTATTAATATTAATCTTATCATTCAATTTTTGAGTTGTGAGTTCCTATATCCTTCTAATTAACTCATCACATTTTCAAAATGATGTCGTAGTAAAGAAGAAAGAATCTGAGAAAATGCTTCTTCACTTCCTTTATTTCTTTTTACTTGTAAAGTAAAGGAAAGGGCAGAAGCAAGTATGCTTAGTATTTTGTGGTTAAATTCGAATTAACATAGCAGCTGACATGCATAGGAAACCAAAATAAGCTAAGAAATTTAAAAACGATTCCTTCGCAATGTCATATTTCACTTAAACAGCAATTAACAATTATAATAATTCCAAGAGTTTTAATCTGGGAGGAGGACGATTTGCCAAAGCAATTCGAGGTGCAGCCTCCTTTCAGGAAGGTCATTACAGACTTTGCTTGTACCTCTTTTTGCAACACAAAGAAAGGCCATGTAAGACACCTATTACATTTCCAAGGAGGACATTATCAAAGTCTAAACTACATCCAAAGTGTATTTTACTCCTAATTAGAACTGGATGAACAGCTAGGAAAAAAAAATATGAACCTGCTTAAACTAAATTGGTTCAGCTCTAACTGATCTAATGCAGTTTTCCAAAGAATAATTGATATTATATAATCGTAACTGCCAGTTTATGTCAGAAAAGTGACATTTGATACTTTCTTGCTAAGCAGCCTAACATCATCAATTAAAACATCACTTCTGTAATGACATTTCACTGGTCAGCTTAACATCATAAATTATGACATCACCTCTTCTGTGGAACCAGAAGACGGAAGAAAGGGGACTGAGAAGGTATTCCTCCTGAAAACTAAGATTCCTCCTTGATTTGTGCCTTTAGAATCTTTTTTGTTCTGATTATATTGCTGGGATGATTACTAAAAATAGTAATAATAAAAACCTCACAAGATCATAGTGAAAGCCGTAAGAGTAAACCGTACATTTTCTAGTTTCCCTTAGTTATGGTTCAACATCCCAGGATGGTGATATGAGGATTTTATTTCACAACTGAACTATGAAATGGCTATTCTTGGAAATCCCTGGAAAATAAGAAACAGAAAAGAAAAATTTTGAGTTTGGGTTTGAATTTGGAATGGTATAGTCAAGTCTCACCAAACCCGTTTTAAAACAATTTATATGTCAGGAAGGTTGCATATTACCTGTAGGCCTTCCAGAAGCTAACTACTTATTTTCCACCCGAGGCTCATAAGCACATACTACAGAAAATGTGATAGGAAATAGATCTTTTAAGATGGAAGGCCCAGATCCCAAAGAAGGAACATTCATATTTGTCCATCTAAAACACTATATTTTAAGGCAGAAAGGAGTCATTTGCCAAAATGTTTCTTGAACACCTGCTGGACCAGCAGCTGCAAGAGTAAGGAAACTGAGTCCAAGAGGAAGAGAAGCAACTTGCCTAACGTCACATACAAAGCAAGTATAAGACATAGTCCTGTTCCACAGCCCTGTGGTCTTGCCACAATCAAGCATGAAAAATGCAAGATATGGCATCACATTTGTAAGAGCCACTAAACACATATGTGCCGTCTTTCTTTTACAATTTGATAGTGGAGGGATAAGATGACCTTTTAGTGTCTTAATCCACAATTTTCAAGAAAGTTATCAAGTAGACTTCTTCAAAGCTACTTATATAATTATGTGTAGGATTACCACAAGAATTTGTAAAAATATATTATTTTTCTTTTTATATCACATAGCAGAACTCTAAAGAAAAAGGTAGACATTCTTGTCTTCCACTAGCATTTAGTTTGGAGAATACTAGAGCCACACGCCTCCTTCTAAGCTAATCTATACTTAAAATAAAAAGAAAGTGTTGTCAAAATGGGTGCCACCAGGGGGATCATAGCGTAACTCTCACAGTTTTATCTGGTAGTAGTATTTTTAATTCTTAAATCCAAACTTCAAATTCACTGGATTAATGGGATTTCCCACACTAGTCAATGGTACAACAAAGAAACATGTGAACAGAAATAAGACAAAACAATTGCTTGCATATCAATATTTCAATAACTTTAATTGCATAGAATTAAGAAATTCTGCTTTACATTGAATTTGGTTAATTATAACAGGCAAGTTTACACTGACTGCCACTGGGCAAAGTCGTTTACACTGACTGCCACTGGGCAAAGTCCTACAACACAAGACCACAAGGGATAGCTACTTGCACTGTTTGGTGATCAAATGCTAAAAAGAACCAACATTATGGTTCCTCCCAGAATGGTTCTTAGTGCATAGCTCATCCTGACAAGGGAAATTGTTACTAATTTTCCCAAGGCATAAGAAGATCAAGTACAAAGTAAAGTTTCATAAAATGTCTTTCCTTTACGTATTGCTTGTGCAACTGTAGTCACACCAGGAGGTTTCTGCGTATTGATTCTTGAAGAAAGGAAACCTTTTTGAGAGCATTTTTTGTTAAAGAGCATGAAAATTAAGTCTAGTGTTTGTATCAGTCTGTTCTCAGCTGCTATAAAGAACTACCTGAGACTGGGTAATTTATGAAGGAGAGGTTTAAGTAATTCACAGTTCTGCAGGCTGTATGGGAAGTATGGCTGGGGAAGCCTCAGGAAACTTGCAATTATAGCAGAAGGTGAAGGGGAGGCAAGCATGTCTTACCATGGCAGAGCAGGAGAGAGAGAAGGGGGAAGTGCTACACACTTTTAAACAACCAGATCTTGGGAGAGCTCACTATCATGAGAAGAGCAAGCGGAAATCCACCTCCATGATCCAATCACCTACTAGGTCCCTCCTTCCACACACGGGATGACAATTCGACAAGAGGTTTGGTGGGGACACAGAGCCAAAACATGTCAATAATAAAGACCAAGACATTGTTATTACTAAAGGATGGCTTTTTAAAAAATAATAAACCACATCTCACACCTACATACATATTTTGGATAGGGAAAGGGAGCAGGGTTATTGACTTAGTAGAAATGATAATTTATAGAATACATTAGAATCAACATTTGAGTGTCATTTAGCCAGTTTTGGCAATGAATTCAACAGCAGGCTTCACGGTGTACAACAAATTCCAAGCTTCCAAGTAATTTTACATTAGTTGAGGCATACTTGTCTGCATTGGAAAATATTTAAATCTTTGATTTTTGTTTTTTTAAGGATGAGAACTGTGGAGAGGAAATAAAGTGTCACTGGAATAAGAAGAATTTTACAGGCTCCAAATGCACTTGCTCTCTTCTTCAATAAGCCAAAGCAGAAAGGTGATGCCCAACTACTGGCCCAGGGGATGTGTCAGTTACCATGAAAATAGTTCTTAAATAACAGACTAAAGATTTTAAGCAAATCCATGCAAATTGTCAGCGCATGTCTTAGTCACCTCTAGAGGTGGGAATATAATTTACTTAGCCTCATTTCTTGACTTTTTTCCAAAAGTTTTTGCCATGAATATTTATGCCCAGGCTTCATTTACCGACTGAATTTCCACTCCGTTGGAATTATGCATCCCCATAGTGCACCCAAGAAAGGTGAGCAGTTAGAGGTGAGGAAAGAGATTTCCTGACCTTTTGGAAATAGCAAGCTACACTGGATTAAGTACAGCTTGAGTGAGGTTACTCGTGGGTTGGTGAGGTGTAATTACCTCAAAATTATCTCAGTGAAACAATTAGCGTGCAATAGATTTGGTGCCAGATCTGCCGCTGTTCTGAACTTTTGTTAAAGCATCTCATTCCATCCTGAAATTGGGCAATTTATAATTCTTACAGAAAGGGCTAGGACTCTACATATTCCTGTTCCTGAGTGCAGACTTATTTACAGCTGATGCTTGTCAAATGAGTTATATGTGCAAAGTTGCTAGACTTGATGTGATGGAAGTGTTTCCTTGGTGATGAAGTGTTTCCTAGGAAAGTTCCTGGAATCATCCGATGTACAGGCAACAGCTAGCCCCCTCTCATTACAGTCCTCAAGTCCTCAAGCTGAAGGTGCTGAACTTCTGTCACAAAATCATCCACGACTAGTTCTTTTTATTTTATTGAATTTATTTGAGATGGAGTCTTGCTCTTTTGCCCAGGCTGGAGTGCAGTGGTGCAACCTTAGCTCACTGCAACCTCCGCCTCCTGGGTTCAAGTGATTCTCCTGCCTCCACCTCCAGAGTAGCTGGGAATACAGGCACATGCCACCATGCCCAGATAATTTCATTATTTTTAGTAGAGACAGGGTTTCACCATGTTGGCCAGGCTGGTCTTGAACTCCTGACCTCAGGTGATCCACCCTCCTTGGTCTAACTGGTTTATTTTAAAATGAACACTAGGCAAAAAGGCCTCAAGTTTGAGCATGCAGCAACAGAGTAAATTTTTGGAAGTCATTTTCATTTCCTCTTTGCTTTTTTACAAAGCTGCCTCAAGTGGAAGGGGCAGTTTTATTTCACTTTATTTATGTTCCTGACAAAATTTAGAAGGTATTTCTTAAGCAAAGCTACTGTCTAAACCTCAAAGATCAGTTAGTCATAGGCAGGGTCGTGATGGTATAGAGGAAAGATCCAAATTTTTGTTAGAAAGCTTTTAAGTAGTTTTTTGAAAAACAGCTTAAGTCATTTAAAAATATGTGAGAAACCACAATGAAATGGGAATTTTTTTTTCAAAATTATTTTTTTCCTAAATTGATTATGTACTATATACCCTGAAGGTGGTGTCTGTGCAGTTAGGGTGAAGTAAACGTATGAAATAAATTCAGATTTATACTCTATAAAAGCAACTCTTTCTTATACTTCATGGAAGGAAAACAGTATTTGTCTTAAGTTAGTAAACAGATATATGCTGATACATAAACAAGACCTACTTATTCTGTAACTTGAATGGA